GCATTTGAGGAAGCAGTTTACATCCTGAATCCCCTGTTTATGGAAACCAATGACTCAGCTGGAAACAGTAGCACATACCTGTAATCCCAACACTCAGGAAGTTGAAACAGGAGGATTACCAAGAGTTCCAGGCCAGTCAGAGCTCCATAGTGAGACCAAAAAACCAAACCAAACAAACAAAAGACCAAACCAAAACAAACAGCAAATCTCCAACCTACCAGGAGGCAGCATTTCACAGCTTTATAGAACTCCCGGGTGCCTAACACCCCATCTGGTTTGTGCAAGGCTCCTCTCCAGCCACCACTGTCTGACTGTCTGTCAGTACCAGAGTTGGTCCTGTCAGATTTGCTGGTTCATTTCCTGCCGGCGGTTGAGCTGTCCTTTGCTCTGTACCTCTGATTCTGTTTGGAAGGCCTGTTGCTGGCTGTCAGTGATGTAGGTAGAAGGGTCTAGAACCACTGATGGGTGACCGTTGGCCTTTGAAGATGGCTGGGTTTTCAGGTTTTTCCTCTACAGTGTGGCAATGTTAGGAGGTGGGGGAAGTATGTGTAACTGGGATCAGAGCCATCTTGCTGAAAGCGAGAATGGGGTGTCCCAGAGGCAGCAGCTAGAGGTGGCTGCAGCTGCTGGGTGAGAGGTGACAGACTGGGCACACAAGGAGGAAGGAGTCAGGAGCTGGAGGAAGGGGATGGGGAGATGCCTGAGTAAGTGTGGTGAGGGTTGGTGGCAGGGACTTCCATCCTGGCACGAGGGACTCCAGTGAGGTTGGTATTGCTGTAGGTGAGATCAGGGTTCAGGTAGGGCGTTTGGAGGTGACAGATGGTGGGTGGGTATTCATGAGGTGGATAGCATATTCTTTGGGTAAGGTGACCATTTTTTTTTCCTGTCACATCATAGTGGACTTGGTTGCATTTTAGGGTCTTTATTCCCACAATCCTCTGTAAAATGTCTGATGAAGAGTTCACAACCACATGAAGACATTAGAATGAAGTCAAGGGCTGGGTGTGGTGGGTGCATGCCTTTAATCATAGCACTTGGGGATCTCTGTGAATTTAAGGCTAGCCTGGTCTACAAAGTGAGTTCCAGAACAGCCAGGGTTGTTATATATAGAAACCCTGTCTCAAAACAAAACAAAACAAACAAAAATTGAAGTCAAGAGTCTTTCACTAGTGCACAGGTGTGGGATAATGCCTTGTGCAGTGCCAGTCAGAGAAGAAAGACTTTAAAGAAAGTTACTTTGATGGTCCCAGTTGACCAAACAACTTTGTCCATGGTGAGTAGAGCTGCAGGAGTGATGGGGAGAAGATCTCTTTGGAAATCTCTGTATCCGGGGAACTGTGATGTGAGCATTTGGTAATGTCACTAAGCCATTCAGTTGGCCTCAGGAAGAGAGGAAGAGACCATGACCTTGGTGGCAGGCAGAACTCTTCCAGCCCTGCTGGCTTCCCTCAGACACACTCCTCCTGGTCCACAGACCCTGCCGTAGCCTCTCCTGCTTTTTCTACCCCAACACTCCCTAGATGGAGTCTCAGGGACAAAGTTTGGAGCGCATTGTCTCATTACAGAGCCCTTTGAGACAAGCATGGTAATGTTCAACCTCTGCTTTACGATTGGAAATTTGGGGGAGTCCCACATTGGCTGCCACATGTTATTGGGGAAACAGGGGTCCTCTCTCAGGGTTCTGAGGCTCATTAAAAGAATATAAGAATGCTAAAAAGGAATCATGAGGAGAATTTTATTAGAATTTAAAAGTAAAACCCCAGGGCAGGTAAGCTGTAAATCTCAGTGGCTGCCTGGAGGAGGAAGACGAAGAGAAAAGCCATGTGCTTGTGAGTTAGGCACAGAGATGTGGAAGTAGCTATGTGGCAAAAAGGAAGTGGCTTCAGAGAAAGAGTGAAAAAGCCAAAAGTACTAGAGAAAGTGTATTACACTCAGTCTGTATCTGAAAGAAAGACATAGAAAGAAGAAAAAGAAACTCCATAGAACCTCATGGTGGCTTCCTAGGTAGCACACAAAAACAAGGATTCTGGGAAGGAAAATACATTTTCTCATTAAAGGAATAATTAATTATTCCTCCATTCTCTCCAGCATAGTGTTAGGTAAATCTGCTTTCCCGGGACAGGTGAGGGAATCCTTTTAGCTGGGTGATTGATTGGCCCAAATGGATTAACTCTTGGTTTGGATAGCTTAGACTACTAGGTCTCTATCCCGACCAGAGGTGGATTGCATATCTTGACCAGGAGGAAGCAGCTCTCCCTTAAAGGGGTTTTGATGTCACTTTAACACTCACAAATACTACAGACCTCTCACACGAACAAGACGTGCTTCCTTGTTCGTTTGTGCAGCCCAGGCTTGTCTGGCACTCAGTATGGCCTAGGAACTCATGGCAATTCTCCGGCTTCAGCTCCCCAAAGGCCAGGACTACAGGATTATAACCACATTAGAGCACTTGGAAGCCACAAGTCGACGATTGGCACAGCACTGTGGTGTGATCCCAGTTCAAATGGATATTCTCTGACTGTACCAATGGTGTCCTTACTAGGGCCTCCTCCATGCCTCCATTAAATTTGTAACAGAGATGCCATCGCCAAGATTTGGTCAGCTAGGTGATGCAACTGCATTTCTAATTAGGATGTTTTTAATCTATGAGGGTCCATCTGAGGTGTGACCAGACCTGAGTGGAGGGCCATCTGGGCTCCACTCAGCTGTCACCTCTTCTAGCTCTATAGTCATTTGAATCTCTGCCCTTCATGATTTCAACACCATCCTCTCCTTTCTCAACCCTTTCTCTCCTTTCCCTTTCCTCATCTTCTTCCCTTTCATACCACCCCCACAATGCCCCACATGCTGGGGATTGAGCCCAGGGCTTGATGCACGATAGGCATGTATCCCAGCCCTCTCTTTATTTTTTTTTATTTTTTTTTTATGTGGAGTTTGTTTGTGTAGCTTTGAAGCCTGGCCTGGAATTTTCTCTGTAGACCAGAATGGCCTCAAACTTACAGAGATCTGTCTGCCACTGCCTCCTGAGTACTGGGATTAAAGGTGTATGCCACCACGACTACCCGGCCCTCAGCCTTCTTATTACCTTTTTTAGAGACACGGTCTCACTAAGTTACAAAGACCCATCTTGTCTTTTCTCTGTAGCCCAACCAGGCCTTGAACCTGCGATTCTACTGTCTCAGTCTCCAGAATGTGCATCTTTTTCTATAGGACAAAAGCAATGCTGCTGAACTTCATTGTCACAATGG